TTAAATTTTTATTTATTATTTTTATTTTATGTGTGTGCATGTATTGCCTGCATGTAGGTAAGTGCACCTGTGTCGTGCAATGGCCCTGGAAGTCAAAAGAGGTTGTTGGATCCCCTGGGACTGGAGTTACAGACAGTTGTTAGCGGCCATGTGGGTGCTGGGATTCAAACCCAGGTCTTCTGCAAGAGCAACCAGTGTTCTTAACCGCTGAGCCATCTCTCCAGCCCATCTAAATTTTCATATAGACACTGAAAGTTAGGCAAAATCCTTCAACTCTCTTCTTTCCTCAGTCATACCACTCCACACAGTAGTGACAACATAACGTGACCAAAATTTTCTAAAAACTTCTAAATGATACTTGAACAACTTTGGAGTTGAGCTTTAGTGATTGATTGAAATATGATGAAAAACTTTATAATGGATGATATGGCATCACTTTTTTAAAAGAAATATAAATTTCAAACACTTCCCTGATACGAAAGAGGCAAAATAAATTTTAAAAGGCTGTACCTCAGCACTCCAAGAACCTGTTTCTGTCTGGGACACTCGGTATGTGTAAATGAAGCCTTGATACCTGTGAGAAAATAAATTTCCATTACTGAAAGTTTCCAAAAGAACAAAGGATGTTCTAAACTTGAACTTGCTTTTTCCTTTAAAAATTACATATACTCGATGGGAGTTGGGGAGGGAAGGACATGCAGGGGACCATGGGGGTGTGGGAGGAGGGAACTCAGGAGAGGGGGGTTGAAGGAGGTGGGTGTTATCGGGTTGAGGGTGGGAATAATGGGGCACTTGGACTGCAGAGGGAGGAAGGACATTGGACAGGGAGAGAGAGGAGAGATGACTGGATCATGGGTAGTGTGGGAAGACAGAGGGAATTGTGATAGCTTGGAAACCCCCTGAGAAATACACATAAGGTGTCTGAACATCAGGGCAAGAGTATGCTTGGGGGCTGTATGGCAAGGAGCATGGTGTCAGACAGGAGAGTGATTTGAGTGATTTGTCAAAGTAGTCTAAAGAGACTCCCCAAATAACAGAGGCTATTGCCAGAGCCTTTGGTTATCTCCCAGAACTCAAAATTAAGACCCTACTGCTGAAGACAGGTCATAATTCAGACACAGGACTTGAAGCAATGAAGCAGGAACTGACCTGGAAGCCTTCTCCCTGAAGACTAGCTCTCATAGTTCCAGAGGATACTATGCAAGCTGCTAAGGAAGAAAATCAATCAACGGTCCAACCCAGTCCTAAAGCCAAATAAATATAACGACTGGTGCAGCAAAACACCTCTATTGGTGCAGTAGTGACATGGACATGGGGGGGGGGGCAATCAACAACTATCTAATTGAACTTAAAGCCATCTTGACAGGAGTGAACTTATGGGTGGCACTGTAATTATAGCCAAATATACGTGGCTAGAGAGGTCATAGACCCTAGAGAAAACCCTATCTCTGCAATATCTCTAGACAAAATGAAATTTCTTAGCATATGCTAAATATGGATCTTTATATTTTACAGACAAGTACACCATTCATCAAAGAAGCTCTTTTGCAGCAGAGTTCCACAAGTGGTTACTGCAGAATTCCATAACTGGTCACATACAGAGAATGCACATCTGAGTGATGTTCGGTCCTATATGACATATCTACAGTGAAACTTCTACACATAAAACTCAAGGAATATAGTGGAACAGGGGGTGGAGAGAATACTGATGCATCCCTAAACTCTCACCAGCAAAGCTTCTTTATACAACAGAGTGAGATGCGCATAGAAGGCCACAACTGGTTAAGTTTTAGAGAATAAGAGACTGCGGAGTGTGTGTCCTTGGATACGATTCCTATATTATTCTTCACCCACCCACAACTCAGGGACCATCATGGAAGAGGGGGGTAGAAAGATTGTAAGAGCCAGAGGTGGGTCATGAACATAAGGAAACAGAGACTTTCAGGCCACTAGAAGCTTGCACATGTGAACTTGTGGCAATGGTGGCATCGATCACAGGACCTACACCAACTCAATCAGACAAGGGCTCAGAGTGGGGCAAGGGAAATGAATGGCGAGCCACCCCTAGCCTGGTAATTATTGGACACTGATCACTACTGGGAGAGTAGGCCTTAATTGCAATCTCTAGATAGGCTAACCAGACTCCAGTGAATGAATTTGCAGCAAAGGACATCTGAGTACAAATTCTTGACTGGATAGAACTTAACATGTATGGTGGAATACATGAGGTCCGGTGGGGGTGGGGGGTAAGGGAGACATGGATGGGGAGGGGGGTCTAAATTTGACTACAAAATGTGGTACAAAATGTACAAAGCTCAATAAATTTTTTTAATTACATATACTCAGTTCATGTGAACAGCTCCCTGGCAGTCAGAAGAAGCAAAGTTAGTGGGTTTAACTTGCTTACATTTTATGTCAACTCAATCACAGCTTCCAGTGACTTCTTTTTCTTAAATGTGTGAATTAATACACCTAAGGATTTGCCTAGTAGAAGGACTGGACAACAAAAAACTAGATATGCTGTAATTGACAAAAAACATAAATTATTAAATAGCTTTAACAAACCAGAGTCTTACTAATTTTTAGTACACAAAGAGTCTTAAGCTAAAAACATTTGACTGATATAATGCAATACAAGATCCAGTTAAATTAATAGTAATATTCATAATATTAATTATTAAAGTAATAAAAATATATACTTCTATGAAATATGACTATTCTTATGATATTACTGTTATAAATACTAATATATTACTACTATACAACTCCATAAAATTATAATATAGTAGTAACCATAATTTGGATTTTAAAAGTACTTTACTACGGAACATATGCAGTCTTTTAAATAATTAAATTCTGTCATCCATAGAAATATGGACAGAACTGGAGGGCATGAGATTAAATGAAATAATTCAGGCACAGAAAAACAAAAACCGTACAGTCTTCCTTATGTGTGGAAGTTAAATGTTGACCCCAAAGAAGAATAGAATGCTGGTTACCAGATTCTGGGAAGTGAGTGGAGGAGATTCATTGATACAGGATGCTGATAGATAGGAGGAATCAGTTCTAACGCTCTGTACCACGATGGGATACCTGTATCTGGCAACAACTATAATTATGTATTTTAAGATTGCTAGTGAAGAGAATTTAGAACATTACCAACACAAAAAATGATAAATGTCTGAGGTAATTAATATGCCAGTTGCCCTGATCTCATCGTTAAATATTATATACATGTATTAAAATATCACACTGTATACCATAAGTATGGAAAATTATATATCAATTAACATCTAAAAATTAGTGGAAAAAAACAAATGTAGTAAATACTTGAAAGCAGTTTGTCCTTTTAAATGCAGTAAATGTTGACCCCCATTATACGGTTTCTAGGCATGTTGTCTATCCATATAATTGAATTAAGCTGTATGCCTCGACTCTTCTCCTTATTTTCTTAAATTCTGTTTATTGTTTTTCATTTATTTTATGTGTATGAATGTATTGCCTACATGTATGTGAGTCTACTCGTGCCATGCAATGCCCAAAGAGGTCAGAAGGAGGCACTGGATTCCCCTGGAATAGGAGTTACAGATGGTTGTTAGCCAGTTAGCTGCCGTGTGGGTGCTGGGAATCAAACCTGGGTTCTTGGCAAGAACTGCCAGTGCTCTTAACCACTGAGCCATCTCCAGCCCCCACAACTCTTCTCTTTATTTCTTTTTGAGATACAGTCTCACAATGTAGCCCTGCCTGTCCTGGAACTCAGAATGTAGACCAGGCTAGCCTCAAACTCACAGAGATCTCTTGCCTCTGCTGGAATTAAAGGTATACATCACCATGCCCACCTTATGTTAAGACTACTTAGAATACTATAGAATGGGTGTTTTAAACCACAACAATAAAAGTATAGTTCTCATATTTCTGGAAGCTAAGTTCAAAGTCAAAGTAAGAGCAAGGGAGGTTTCATTCTGAGGTCTCTTCTCTTGACTAGTGAACACCAGAAAAAATTCCTGCTCTTGTGAAGTCACCAATCGTATTAGACTGGGATTCTGTTTACATTTATTTACTTATTTATTTATGTATTTGAGACCAGGTCTATGTAGCTCAGGTTAGTTTGGAGCTCGTGATCATCCTGCCTGAAGTCTAGGATTATGGGCATGCATCACTATACCTGGGTAGAGACCTGGCTCTTAGGATATCATTTAACCTTACTTAACTTCTAGAGATCTTATCCCCAAAAACATTCATGTCAGAAATAAGGCTTAAACTTATTTGAAGAGTACACAGCTTAGACCAAATAATTCCATTCGTGGCCCCTTATTTTTATTCCATATAAATAAATGAGAATTTTCCACATTTTCCAACTCTGGTTGTTCTTTTGCTTAATTATTCCTCCTTCAATTCATTTCTCTTTTTTATATTTTACTATTAGCAATCTAGAAGAACCAAGCCATTCCTTCAAAGCTTTGCCTAGAAATCTCCACAGCTAGGTTAATGGTGGAGATTTAGGCCCAGTGGCAAATTGCTTGCCTAGCATGGGTTCAATCATCAGCATCATAACAGGAAATGAAAAGAAATATAAGCTAAATATCAACTTTCATTCCTCACAAATACTATCTTCCACAAAAACTAGAACAGAGTTTAGCCAAGTTCTTTGCCAGTTTATAACAATGATCACCTTTCTTCCAATTTCCAGTAATGTTCATTTCATTTGAGATCTGAGATCTCACAAGAATGATCTTTAACATTCATAACTCTACCAACATTCCACTAATGGAAATATACCACAGGGGCAGCATAAACCTCAAAATTCCTCCAACTTCTACCCATTACCTAGTTTCACATGTCTTTGGGGTTTCTTATAGTAGCAACTGATTTCTCAGTATCTGTATTCATCTATTTGGGTTCTCATAACAAAATGCCATGAGTGGATGGTTTCAACAGGAGAAAGTTACTTCTCACAATTCTAGAAGCTCTAAGTCCACGTTCTAGATGCCACAGTGGTTTCATTCTGAGGGCTCTTTGTTTGGCTTATAGGCAGCCACCTACTTTGTCTGGGCTTATATGACATTGTTTTTGTGCATGTTTTTTCTCTTCTTATAAATCCACTAATCCTATCAGATTATAGCTCTATCCATATGAACTCACTTAATTTTAAATTCTCCCTATAAGTCCTATCTCTAAATACAGACACACTGGGGTAAGAGCTTCAATATATGAATTTTGGAGGGACACAATTTACTCCATAGTACATGCATTATCTCCTTTGGACACTCCAACAGTCATATGACCTCTGTGTGGTAAAATCTCTTTTATACATGAGAAACTGAAACTTCCAGTTGTGAAATAACCAAAGCAGAACAGAGGTTAAGCATCAAAACTGTGATCCAAATCAAGCACGTTTGATTCTACAGCCTCAGCTCTTGATCCTCATATGATAATAGATGTAAATTTCTTATATTTTAGTATACATGATAATGCTACTTAATTTGCTTGATAAACTTTTAGATTTTTTGTGAGTTTTGTACAATTCATTTTTATTGTATTTCAATCCTCTCCCCATCTGCACTCCCTTACTAC